TACACGATATAAAGTCCATGATCTGTTTGAAAAGTCATCTTAAGATTTCTAAATGCATCATTTGAAAAAGGAGCTCAAGAAACGAAATTATATGAAGAGCCCAGGGGAAGAATGATCTAAGTCACTTTTTCAACGAACCCCAGTTAATGATGCCATCTGGTAGCAAATTGTATAAGCTTTCTGTGGAACAATCAATTTCAGGTAAAAACCATCAGAGTCACATCAACCAAGGGTACCTTTCTTAAATGGCCTCCCGGACAAATACAAGTCCATCGTACCCTTTATTTAACCTTAATTTGCTGGTAATAATGTTTCGTGTTAAACATCATTTTGAAGTTGTAATTAAATCACTCTTGGTTCTGTTTGCGTCAAGCTTTCTCGTCCAAATGTTTTATGCAAAAAGACAAAAATGTGACTTAGATCGTTCTTCCCCTAAATGCATCATTTGAAAAAGGAGCTCAAGACCCGAAATTATATACAGTCATCTTAAGATTTCTGGTAAATCCTACAAAGGTCAAATCTGATTAAAACACATATCCTATTTCGTTTCGATTTTTTTATAGTTCAAAATTTGGTTTTACTTGTCTTTACTACACTAGAATCTGGAAGAGTTGTTATATAACTGGAATTTTGGTTGGTGTGAGGGATTAGCCAATGAAACAGTCTGTTATGGCGAGTTTTTGGCTTGAGGTGCATGGAACTGTGGGTATCCTACTAGAAACATCAACGCTGTCCAACCTAAGTCACATCAAACACATAACTTGCGACTGGGGTTTAAATATTTATCACGATTCGAGACTCGGCAGTCATGACAACTAGCGACTTGAAAGAGACAAGGACTTGAGTCGCGGAAACAACTCTAACTTGCTATATTCACCATGGCCTTGATGAACTGGCACTTGAACAAGAATTGGACTTTGTGTTGACTCAACTCAGTACCAAAGTCAGCGACTTGGGACTTGACTCGAGGTGCAGCAACTCGGGACTCGATGCGAACTCAAAGGTCCAGTGATTTGTTCCCATCTCTGGAATCCTACACCTCCTTTTGGGATCTCAATACGTCGATGAATAAAACAAACCTGTACATTGTGCCCCCAACAGGGTCTATATAGTGAAATGTTTTTGTGTAAAATTAATTTCTGGTCTTAATGTTTGTAAACAAGATTTGTTGAAATATTTTGTCTTTTTCTTCATTGTGCTTAATAAGTCAAATGAAAAAAAAATAAAAAATTAGAGAATGAAAAAAAACCCCCAAAAAACAACTTACATTCACTTGACTTAGTTTACGGCCGATATTCTTTAAATCAATCCTCTTACTTGATGCAGAATCTACTCCATCCAGATGATTGGTTGATGATACATCATGTGACATAAAAACACGACTTTTACGTGATGCAGAATTGTCTCTCATTAATTTATTTGGTCGTAAATTCGACTGATTCGATGAACCACTGGTAATATTATTATTAGAGATATTGCCCTTGACATTGGAAATACTGGAAACGCCCACACCTCTTGGACTAAATTTTAACGAATTACTCAGATTTTCGGTTTCCGACTTTAATAATTTTGCCTTTATAAATGAAACACGCCCATCATGAGAGCTAGATCTTACTCTGGGACCTAAAACACTGGTTGTAGTATTGGGGGCTGAGTCTTTACTATTTGCCGTTTCAATAGAATGGATTCTATCTTGAAACGAATTAATTTTTCGCAACAGGGCGTTTTCCCCTGTGACTGGAGATAAATTTAGTCTTAGATCACGATTTCTGGGGGACAGAAACTCCATATCTGACTTTCTCAAATTTGACTTTTCGGATCGGTCACAATCAGTATCGGAACTAAAATCAATTTTAGACACCCTGCGTTTAGTATTGTATTCCTGTTGAAACTCCCTCCAACCTTTGATCTCACCGACATTTCTACTCGATTCATCCTTTAAAGATGACCTCCTTGGTGATACCACATCCTTTAATATTTCGTCGAAACGGCTTGCGTGATGAACTTTCAGAGGAGTACCACGTGGCGAAACAATGCTTTCAGTTTTCGTTGATCGAAGCCCCGAGATTCGAGGAGAAGATGTTCTAGGAGAGGATAACTCACAGCCACTTGACATTAAAGTTTCACGAACAGAAACTTTTGATGAGTCGGGGATGTCCCTTGGCGAAGGTAATTCAATATCGTTACGTCTACTGTGGAAACTCTGTCTTTGCGCAATCAAATCAAGAACAGATTTGTTCATTTTATTTTTTTTCTCTAGCTCTTCCAGTCGTTTCCGTTTTTCTTCTCTCTCTTTCATTTCAATAAAAGTTCGTCCCCGGTCAGCAGAAAGGGGTCTTGGCTTTGGAAGAACCTTAACCTCATCTTTGATCAAATTATCTGAAACTTTTGTCACTTGACCAGAACTAACGGAATGCGCTGTAGACTTGATCATTCCAGGAATTGGTATCGGCAACTTCCATTTGTCCATCTGTTTTCGCGGAGAATATTTACAAGATTTTGCAGCTTCGATGGATTCGTCTGTTATCACGGCAGGGATATATCCACCATTCTTTCTTGGCGTGAGATTTCCTGAACCATTACGTGGACTAGAACAGGGACTATCACTCGACACAGCTAGAGACTTCTTCCTCGGCTTCACACTCGGCTTATTGTCCGTTTGTCGCCTCGGTGACAGTTCGGCTTTGTCATCAGCTGAAAAACTGGCATACAAGGCAGCCATTTTTGAATTCAGTTTCGAACCTATGGATGAGCTGCTAGTTTTTCTAGATGGTGGTTCGGCATCCGATGGAGATGAATCTGTCAGACGTGGTGATTCGTTGACTCCATTTTCATCCCCGAAATCCAGTTCCAGAAGATTTGAAACAGACTTCAATCGGCTTCCGATTCCGTCACCAAGGGCGATTGGATGATGATTCTTACCTTCGCTGTCAGAAGAGGACGTTTTTGATGATCCGTCGCCTCCGAAATCAAGTCGTGGAACAGAGAAAGATGTTGTCTGTTCTTCTTTTAATGGAATTTTCCCATTGTTTTGGTTTTTCAATTGACCAACATGTGATTTATGGTTTTCCTTGATATCATTGGATGTTTTCCTTTGTGGTTTATCGACATAGGATATCACATTTTGTGTAGGATTTTCCTTTGATGGAGGACAAAAAACACTTTCAGATTCGTATCCATCACCGTTACGTGGCCTCTCGTTGTTAATTGCCTTATCACCACTATATTGAATCTGTTCTGAAAATTTTGTGTTTGTGTAAGTTTGAGTTAGGTCATCATCTTCCTCCATTGTGTCTGTCATATCGGAATCAGAATAATAATTTATTGGCGTAGCTCGGGGATCCACGCCTGGACTTTTCACTTTACGCGTATATCGTTTCTCTCGTCGATTTTCCTCGTAACTCTCGCAATCTGATGTGCAAGTTGAGCCATAAGTTTCTTGTACATGTGATAACGATCTTGATTCTTTAGGATATTCGAATATTTCGCTCTCTGCTGCATCAGTCGTGTCCGTATCTTGACAATGACTTTCAGAATCGGCTTGATAACACAGACTACTGTCGGACATATTGGAATTTACATCGGAACCATTCTGCACGAGACGCGACATTGTTTTCTCTTTCATGTTCTTTGTGACATATTCGTAACTTTCGATGATTTTCGAATCTAGTTCACTTAGCGCATCGGTTTTATCATCATCACATCCATAGATCATATCAAAGAAAGCACACTCCTCCTCCTGTAAAAAAACACACAAACATGCCATCATGCACATGCAAAACATATTCAAAGAAATAACATGCACTATTTCAATAAAACAAATTAAAAGCCCACGGGCGGCTAGGCGTGTTCTACGCTTATTCATTTATGGTTATGCCCAAAATAAAATGGGAACCACAGTGTCTCAATGAGTAAGCTGCTGGAACACTAAGAAGGAGATTTGGCCATGAAAGCTCTACTGAGATTTTGCAGCGTAATTTTCCCTTGTCAGTGGTGGAGGATTAGGGCCTTGAAAGGAATAGTGTCAACCTTTTGGAAGGGACAAAAAAAAAAATGGAGGTCCCTTTGTACTTGTTGGTATGCACATACAGAACACTTGATAGGTTGAATTCGAAATAAGAGCAGGGTGTAACGCAGAAAAATCCTGAAGAACAAACCCTGGATCGCCTGGTTAGTCAACCAGCGCCTTACTCATTCAGCCTGTTCCCCCTTGTCAGTGATGCCGGACGGAGGGTCTGACAAGGACAGATGTCTAGTTCTTTGGATGAGACGAAAAAACCAAGGTCCTGTGTATACATTGGAATGCACACTGTATGGCGTATGCCCATCTTCATTAGCCCAGTATAGGGGCATAACAGTAGGACGTTAAACCCCATTTCATTTCATTTAATTTCTACTCATTGAGCCGTCATGGCTCTCCATAAACACTCTCTGCAAACATATCCTCAAACCCTAATTTACATGCATAAAACACCTACCTTTTTGATCCTGACAAATCAAGTGTCCAGCATGCACATATATCTTAAAATTTGACCACATTTTAATCTTAGTTTAGTGTGTCCTTACATTCTGAATGCATGATGGAGTTATCCCTGCTGAGTGATTGGGGGAGCCACTATGGCTCAGTAGGTAAGACGTTGGCTCGCTAACTTGGAAGTCCATGTTCTATCCCGGTGTTGGTCGGGAAAGTTCATCAGAATTTCAGGTGTTACCCAAGTCAGTAGTGCAGGACAGAGGGCCTGGCAATGGACAACGCTTACTACCGGGTACACATTGGCCTGCATGTAAAAGATTTCTTAGCAGTTGAAATATGATATGAGTAATTCGTAGCGCCGCTGTACCGACACAATTTCCCTCATAGCACACTGTAAGAAATACTGGGGCAAAATGCGGACGTACTGTATGTTTTTGTTGGGGTGAAATTCATCACTGCCCAGATCATGCAGAATGTGTATGGACGGTATGTTTTTGTCTTTAAAAATAAAAAAGCAGAAACAAACCTGTCTGCGTCTTTCTTCCTCTTCTTCTTGTTTTTCTTGTTTTTGACGTATACGTTCTGCTTCCTGTCGTTTACGTTCTGCGGCTTCTTGTCGATTACGTTCTTCTTCTTCTTCCTCTTGTCGACGTCGACGTTCAGCTGCTTCTTGAGCTGCTGTATTGTCCTGAAATAACCAAACAATTCAATTTAGCTGTGTTTTTTTGGTAAAAATTGGAGGTCAGGGACCCTATTAATAAAAACTTTAAACTAAAGAATGGAAAGGATACTGTTTTTTTCATTGGCTGAAAATAATAAAAGAAACTGAGAGTGAGGTAATATAGGCCTAACCTGTTCCTCAATCCTTTTCTGAGAATAAAATATTGTTTATAAAAAAAAAATGATCTCAAAATGGCCAAAGTATTATTTTGTCAAGGTTCCTTTCCTTTCTCTCGTAGATAGCTCAACAAATAGCAACAAACAAAAACAGCATCCTTTACAATATTTTAGCTTAAATTTCTATCAATTAAGACACCCTTATTACACCCCCAGAGCTAATCCACAACTTTGGTGAATGATTCATCCATCAAAAACCAGGATGCTGATAAAGTTTCATCTTTCAGGAGTTGATGACACTGCTTGGAGTCTTGTCCTAAAATGGATTCATTAGTAGACATTTTGGTGACTTGTACAGTCGAAAGAATGACTAAATTCTATGAATTATGCAAGAAATGAAATACAGTTTGGACATTTGAAAAATTAATCTTAATGAAGCGACTGATTAAAAAAGAAAAGTTGACAAGAATTATTAAAAGCTACAAAAATATGACAATGTCTGACAGATGTATTATATATAAAGCAGAGGAATAACAATTATTGATATTATGATGGATATTTCGAAACAGGGCCGAATTTACAAAGAGACAAATGCAGGGAAATGCCCCGAGAACTCTGCCAAAGCCCTGAGCAGTACCGTCAAGGCCCTGAGCACTCCTTTATAAAAAATATTGTGATAATTATAAAATTAGTTTTATCATTAAAAGGTAGGGTGCACCAAAAAAGTAGTCACGCTAATCCATACAGTCAATAAAACTGTTTTATTAAAGATACATTATGTAAGATTTAGATAAAGAACTAGCCATTCTTGCTATAAAAGTTCGAAAGTAGATGATGTAAAATGAATAATTTGAAAATTTCATTCAAATTACTCTATTGCAAGCGAAGATATTAGCCTTTGAAGGTTTGACAGACGTGTGCAATAATTTCAACCACCGTACTGGTTGATCGAAGCTAAGTCTCGGTCCTCCATATTTGATTAAATCAAAGTATCGCTGAACCATTCTAATCTATTTAATATCGGAGAAATCTGATGCCATCGAGAGTTGATTAAGGCCTGGATCAGTTAATTAATGTCTAATTAATACTTTTGAAAACATTTCAGGTCTAAAGAAAGACCTACAATAGGCAGATTTAGCTCTTGCATAATGCATGTTTAAGAGCCTAATTTGTTTTTCGAATAAATGTGATTTATACTGTTTGAATGGCATTTAGTAATTGAACACATTAAAATAAACACAACAGTTCTATGGATAACAATTAATGTATGTCTATTAAAGCTACGTTTCAACAATGATTCTCTTGTCGTTATCAAGCACAATACTAATCCTTTCTTTCTTTCTGTATCAATATTGTGCTTGAAAATGAAAATAGGATCATTGTTGAAACCTAGATCCGATTAAAATACAGTAATTGTTTATCCAGAGAGAGAGAGCGAGAGGGAGGGAGAAATGAGAAATGGGGTTTAACATCCGCTCGACACAAACTAGGTCATTTTGGGACTAACATATAGTTCAATTTCATTTCAATAATTCGCTTGCGTGTAGGGGTCTTTAGGAGTGGGAGGAAACCAGAGGATGCGAAGAAAACCCACCGGGTTAGACAGGTGACCTTACTCCTTGTCACCTACAACTGGGGAATTGAAACCACACACGTTGACTCAATGACAGGCCTTATGTGTTTATCCATAGAGCTCTTGTGTTTATCTAAATGTGTTTTATCATTTAGTTCACTTTTTGTATTTGTCATGTTATTAAATTTCTAGGTTGAGGGGTCCCTGAACCTAAAGTACCCCAGGCTCCCTAAGGTTTAAATCCAACCCTGTTTCTACGTGAATAAATTTTAAGAATATTTTAAATTTTAAATACATACACCATGCTTAAAAAATATTACATGCAGATATTTTAAAACTGAAATAAATTAAGGTCCTTGGTTTGGATCTGTAGTGCTACGTAAAGGCAAGACAAATATTTCATTCAAAATAAATTGAAAGGTCCTTCCATATTTTAGGATTTTACTAAGGGAAGATAACTTGGTACATTTATTTTTCACAAATATAACTTTACTTTAAGGCCATACATACAACAAAATATTCTGGTATGGGAGGGAGGGTTTTATTTTTATGTTTTTATTTTGTCAAAGGATCACTACTTGGCTAATGCTAGGTTGCCAATATCATGATTCATGCTACGATTGAAATCGTGGCTTTAATCTTGGATTATTTGTGGTGATCCTATCAGGTCTTATCATATATTGAGGTCAGTTGTAGCAATCGTGTTAACCGTATCGAAACGTATCTGTAAGTACCAGATCGTGGACTCAATAGGGACAATCCTATCGTAACGCATCGCACCTAGCATTATACAACACAGTTTCATCACTGTATCGAACCATATCTGCTAGTACCAGATCGTGGACTCAATAGGAACAATCCTATCGTAACGCATCGTACAACACTGAGAACTAAACATAAATGACTTCTCATAAACATCACATTTCAAGGCACTACATTTATCTCATCATGTTGTTTATAGGTATGTATGATTATCCAGTATCATTTATCTCATCATGTTGTTTATAGGAATGTATGATTATCCAGTATCAATTATCTTATGTTGTTTATAGGAATGTATGATTATCCAGTATCATTATCTCATCATGTTGTTTAAAGGAAAGTATGATTATCCAGTATCATTATCTCATCATGTTGTTTATAGGAATGTATGATTATCCAGTATCAATTATCTCATGTTGTTTATTGGAATGTATGATTATCCAGTATCAATTATGATGGCCAGTAACATCTATCTCGGTTGTGTACTTGATAATGAGCCTATATCACATCTGTCGAAAATTACAAGACTATACATAATAACTAATACTGTAACTATTTCACAACAGGGAATTTATGATGTTTTAAGTTGAGAATAACATATAACTCTTTCGAAAGGGGAAGATTACAAGATCGAACATAACAACTAACTATAAAGAGCAAGTCAATATCGTACTATGGCAGCCTATATCTACACCATATACTATACAACAAATAGTAAAACCTATTTATAGTCTAATCACAGTGGAGGCCTAAACAGTATAAACTAAATTCCAAAGGGGAACAACTCTCAAAAAATCTAATTTAGAAGGGGAAGTCACTCTAACAAACCTCCTCTTCAGCAGGTTGTTCTTCTTCTTCAGCAGGTGCAGATTCTGCCTCAGCTTCTTCCTGAGTTACATTAAATAAAGCAAAGATAATGTTACAGCAAAAGCGAATTCAATGTTAAAACAGTTAAAACAGTTAGAGATTAATTGCGTTGTCAGATGAAGGTAAACCTGAACTGTTAAAAATGCTAAAATCCAGAACGCTTGAAACATATACATTCGTTTCCGAAATAAATGCAGTAAAGATTTACTTTTAGTTAATATAGCTCATTAATGAAATTTGCATCAGAACAAGATCATTGCTGGCTTTATTTTGGTGGGTGGGAGAATGTCCCAATGTCAAAACGTTAGTAATTTCCAACGTTGTCCGTGAGTAGTCATAACTTTCTGTCAATAAACAATCTGTGATGTCATTTTAATCCTTCTGCTCATAGAAGTATATAGTAGAATATGAGCGGAAGGACTGAAATGATGTCACTGATTGTTCATTGACGGAAAGTTACGACTACTCAAGGACAACGGCAGAAATTACTAACATTGAAATTTACCTGTGGCAGGTAACATTGACATTCGGGTTCGTTTTATACTTATGGAAAGGATATGTTGACATAATTAAGGGGTTATTGTTCATTAGCTGTAGTATTATATATTTGCATGCATCTATCTATAGTTCTATTAATAGTAGATCAGAACCAAATGTTAATATATCAAATTGCATATATAACAGATGGATTATAATCCATGGGTATTTAAAGGACAATGTTGGTGTCAGTCATTATTACATATGTGATAGAACTGGTTAAACACGTTCCAAATATAATTTTAACACAGAGATCATTGCTACCATAGATGCGTAATGAAGATTTCAATAAACGGAAGCGATAAAAGCAAAAGGAAACACGAGTTATCCTTCTGTATAACTGACTGAAGTGACAAATGTAATAATGGCTGACACTAATATTGTCCTTTAAATTTAATGTACTTTAATATATTAGAGCATATTATGTTATGTCTAATTCAAGTTAGATTTTATGCTGAAGTATGGCATGGATTATTCAATGAGACTATGATAGGATAATATTTGGGCTAGAATAGGATTAACAGTAGACTAGGATAGGATTATTGGCAGACTATGATAGGATTTTTCAATTCCTCCATTAGACTTTGTATTCTGACTACCAGTTAGGATTGCCTTTGCTTGATTATAATTTACTTAAGACTATGATAGGATTATCTGTAGACTATAATAGGATTATCTGTAGACTATGATAGGATTATACTAGACTATAACATGACATCAGTAGACTATGATAGGATTATAGGTAACTATGATATGCTGATAGACTATGATATGCTTATAGACTATGATATGATTACCTCCTGTTCCTTAGCGCGACGGCGCCGCGAGCTTGCTGATTCTTCCTGTAAATTATGGTCATAAAAATAACAGTTTGCATGAAAGAGGATGAAGATGGCCACCTGTACAGGGGAGAGAGACTATACAGGTTTTACCTGTTTCTCCAGTAAATCATTTTTATAAAATAAAGCCTTGGGTAGTTTTTTCTAATAACACTTATGGTTAACCTAGACTATTATTAGAGACAGAGAGAGAGAAATGGGGTTTAACATCCACTTGACACAAACTAGGTCATTTCGGGACTAACATATGGTTCAATTTTATTTCAATAATTCGCTTGTGCGTAGGGGTCTTTAGCAGTGGGAGGAAACCGGGGGGACCCGGAGAGAACTCATGAGGTTGGACAGGCGACCCTGCTCCTTGTCATGTACAACCGGGGAATCAAAACCACAAAGTTTGACAGACAACCCTATACCTTGTCCACTCGACACAAACTAGGTCATTTCGGGACTAACATATGGTTTAATTCTATTTCAATAATTCGCTTGCGCGTAGGGGTCTTTAGCAGTGGGAGGAAACCAGAGGACTCGGAGAAAACCCACGTGGCTGGCCAGGCGACTCTACTCTTTGTCACATACAACAGGGGATTCAAAACCAGGGAAGTTCACTCAATGACAGACTTTATGATACAGCGCACGCTAACCATTCAGCCATCCAACCTGCCATGACCCATTAAATAATTCACATCTGTCTGATAGAGCTGGCACAGACTATATACAATCATGGACGTATATAAAAATGACAAAATGATGATTCTTACCTCTGATGGTTCGTTCGATTCTCTTCGACGACTTCGACGACTGGTCGTTTCCTCGTCAGCTGGAGTTTCTGCTGACTCTCTACAAATTCACATAAAAATCAGAATTACTAAATATAATTAACTATTGCTTAATCTGAAACAAAAGCCAAGTCTAGGAATAAAGTCTCTGTGACAGACCGATTTCTGTTTTTAGTAAATTTTTTAATACACATTGGGACCAAAGTTCAAGAATGGTTGAAATTTCATATGGTACAGTTAAATTCCTTATTTCCAGGACAGAGGCAAAGGCATTAGAGTAAATATTAGTCCTGATCAACCAGATCTCTATATAAACTCAAATAACACAGTTCACAGAAGAAATATTAAACTTAATTTATACTCAGAATCTCCATTTAATATTTCAATTTGTGATGGTCAGTTTATGTATAATCTGAAGAATGACCAATGATGTCTGGTTAAACAAGAAACAATTTAAACTAATAGAATACAATGTCTGGTTGTTCAAGACTAAATTTAACTTAATAAAATACAAGGCAGCAGTCCAAAAAGTGGGGGACAATAAAACATGTATTCATGATATTTGATGATGACAGAGAGGTCAAGGGTCATGACAATGTTGGTGATGAACAGACATATTAAAGAGGGTAATGATGTCATGAAACATTATTTTAATACAATAAAGGGGTTTATCTTGATGGGGGGGGGGGAGAAGGTAATAATAAATAGACACATCTTGGTTGGTAGGGTACAGAAATTAACGATCACATCAAATTAATGAAAACACAGTCCATGTAAATGTGCAATTATTATCAAACCAATACTTCACCAGAAACACATACATGTGCAAAATAATAAATTCATAATCTTTGTGTGGTATCTTAGTCGATGATAAACCTATTACAAGATACAATTCTATGGATATTAACTATGCACATAAAACATCAGATTTATTCATCAAACAGAAACACAGCTTTAGTCAGATTTTCCATAATCATAATATTAGATTCCTCAAATGGAATCACGGTTGAAACGTAGATTTTGTCAAGGTTTCGACCATTGTAATATCTGATTTATTTATGAAATGGTAACATAGTTGAAACTTGGCTTTAATCTGGGTTTTCAAGAAATGTAACAACCAATTTATTTATCTAATAGAATGATAGTTGAAACTTAGCTTTAGTATGTCGTTTCATCAGATTTATTTGTCAAATAGAAACATCAATGAAACGTAGCATAAGTCTGGGTTTCGACAATCAAAACATCAGATTCATCAAACAGAATTCATCAAGCCAATAATTCGCTTTTGAAATAATGTCATATACTCCCTTTACTAAACCAACTTATTCATATTATTAAGGAATAGTGGTCTGAAGCCTTCTTGAGTTCTTTGTGTTAATAGAGTTACTTCCCTTGATTAATAAAAGGCTTTGATCCTAGATGGAATTCTGGGATGGAGTGAAATGGAAGATGGCTGTTTTTAATTAGCTCTTCTGATTGTCATAAACAATCCAGGCCATCTTGTGGCCTATACACCCCAATACCACATGGTGGAGATGCCAAACTCCCATTTCTAGTATGTAGAATATGAAGAACTAGTTTTCAAGTGATATTTTTGAATTGTTACCAAGAATTGACTTGTGATGTGAGGAGCACATGTTTTGAGATTTGGACTCATAATTGTGGAGCACATTCTCCCATTATTCAACAGATTTTGGGAATCTACTTTATTCTGAGGAGTAAACTTTCATCAGAAGTAGACCTAGTGAGGCCTGATTAAACTCCATTTGTGTGAAATTAGTCGTTCAGCAGATATTTGGGAACCTTTATTTTCTGAGGACTACAAATTCACCAGACTTGAAATACTATAGTGAGGCCTAATTATAAACTCTATTATTAATTTGTGTGAAATTAAAATCTAGCCTAAATTGCTTATGTACAGATCCAGAGACATTTCAAATAATCCAAATGAATAAATCCATAAACATGTAGGCCTACACTGTGTTATAAAGGCCTAATGGAAAATCTGTTTTGACATGAGTGCCAATTTTCCCATGTTAAAGTGTGGATGCCTAGAACTCTTAACTACTACTAGCCTAGATCTAATTCATTTATAGTGACATAATTAATGAAGTATAGACTACAGTGTTGTACAGTGACAATCTTGGAATCAAGTTTGCTGTCTTGTGACTGTGTTGTGTAGCCTACAAGTGACATTATTTCAACTCAAGTTTGCTGTCTTGTGAACCTTTACTGAAGCCTGATGTATAAATCAATGACTTTTATCCCTAGTAAAATTTGTAAAAGAGACAATATTTTTTTTCTTAAAACAGAATTGTGAAAGAAGGCTTTAGAAATTTTAATTTTGGCTTATAAGTAAATTCAAATTTACAACTTTCAAATTAATTTGGCAATATTCCAGTCAATTTATAATATAAACGTTTTCTGATACTATATTTGTGTGAATTATGCTGAATGGTTGTGTGAATATGTTATTATTGTTTCATGATCTTAAATATTTAGATAATTTGTTTTGCTAATTGATGTTTTCCATGTTTACAAGATGCATTATTTCTTTCTTTATTGGTTAAACTTGTAGTCATCCTGATTTGCCTTACACAATTATTTTGATAATAGTTGCTCATATAGTGAACGAATTAATCAAGGTCAATCATATTCAATGTTTGGACAAAATTGTAAACATCTTTTAACTATTTTGATTATTTTGTATACAATTACAATTATGGCTAACCGTCGGAACGAGGTTGTTGAACGCAAGAGACCTCTGTCATTTGATAGATTTGATGGGTCCGTATTAAATAGGGATCTGGCCACTGCCCATTTTTTATCTTTCGAAGATTACCTTGAGTACTCTGATGAGGAGATGAATCCTCAGACAGTTCTTGCTATCAATAAGATGATAAATCTTTTCAAACAGTCTTTAAAAGGAACCGCGAGATTGTGGATAGAGGAGAAAATATTTCGAAGTCGTGAAGATTTACGCACGCAGTTTATTAATAGATTCTCCGAAAATAAGTCTTTATTTGGTTTACACCAAGCCTATTCCTCATTCACTTACAACGCTTCTATCACTCCTGCGGAAAATGTAGAAGGCTTGGAGAAATTAGCTACTCAACTTGGAGTAGGTCGCACCCAACTCAAACATAAATTTGTTTCAATCCTCCCTACAAACTGTCAACAAGTCGTTGCCATGTCAACAAATGACACAACTACTTTGAATGACATCACAACAAAAGTTCAGTGTTTCTTTGATATTAATAACCCTGACAAAACTTCTGGAACCGTAAATCCTAGTAAGGAGGTATCCTTCTATACATCTGACACAGATGATCTTTCTTCATTACGAAAAGAATTAGATGAACTTAAGTTGCATGTAGCATCAGATGATCATGTCAGACACCGATCCAAACATCCAAATTATAGTCATTCGTCTTATGCTCGTGAGCAATCACTATCACCCAGACGACGCCCTTATTCACCTAGTCCCAAATCGCATACAAACAACCCTGGAGTTCGATCAAGACATGATTATTCTCGTTCACCTAGTCAGTATAGATCAAGACGTGATTATTCTCGTTCACCTAGTCAACAGCGATATTCCTCGTACACAAATAAGCATTCTAAATACGACAATAATTCTAGCCAGTCAGCTGATAGACCTATATTTTGTGACTACTGCTTGAAACCAAATCATACATGGAGATCATGTTTTCTGCGTCAGAAACAATTTTCTGCTAAAAGACAACAACAGGATTTTCAATAGAGGGAATTTATTCTACTGCTCAGAATGAATTCCCTAAATCTAATCAAACCAAACCTATTCATTCTACTTCAGGTAAACAGAATCATTCTAGTTCTGTTTCTATTCAACTTTCAAAACGAAATTATTGCAAAGGAGAATTTTTAGATGGTCATTCAGCTTTATTATTAATTGATAGTGGTGCATCAAGGTCGATCATTTCGTCTTTACTTATTCAATCTTCACCCTATTTAAGTGGTTTGCCTGTTCATTTGTTGTCAAATCCGCTTAGCTTTAGACTTGGTAATGGCAATCTACTATTGTGTAAATATTCTATTAAGTTTGATGTGCTTATTCAAAATGTAAAGTTTACCATTCAAGCTTTTATTGCTGCCGATTTAATCGGAATTGATATCATCATTGGTCAAGAAACTTTAGCTGATTTGAATGGAAGTCTTAGTTTTCGTGACAATGTATTTCATTGTAAAGCTACAACCATTCCATTTATAACCGCTCATAGTGTATATGTCAGACCTAAACATTGTCGTTACATCACTGTTCATGGTAAAGTTCCTCCTTTGTTTAGGAATCGTGAAGTTGTCATGTATTGTGGCAGTCATATTTCTGATATGTGTCCTTCAACAATTTTGGTTAAGCTGGAAAGAAATAAAGCCATTATACCAATTCATAACACAAGTGCTAAAACTTTGCATATCAGACCTACTCGACCAATTTCATTTATATCCCTTCAAGATATTGTAAGTTATGATAATATTAACTTCACTTCTGAGTATGATCAAAATAATGTTACATCATCAAGTAATATTAAGTCTGTTTTCAAGTCACAAATTGATTTGTCCAAAAGTGTGCTTGATCTTTCTCAAAAAGACAAATTCTATGATATGTTGTGTCAAAATCGGGAAGCTTTCAGTCTTCATGGTGAAATTGGAAAATGCCCTGACATACAAGTTGATATAGAAGTAAACGACAATCGCCCTTTCTACATTCGCCCTTATCCAAAAACAGAAGTTGAGAAAAAGATTGTGGATCAGGAATTAGAAAAGCTTGTCAAACTAGGAATTTTAGCTGTTGGTCACCAGTCGTATACATCACCAGTTCTCATTCTACCTAAGAAAGGTACTAAAGAAAAACGTGTTGTTGTTGATTTCAGGTATCTTAATTCTAAAATCAAACGTCTTAACCATCCATTTCCCCTATTATCTGACACCTTAAAGAGGATTGGTCATGCTAAACCTAATGTTATAAGTTGCTTAGATCTGAAGTCAGCATTCTTTTCACTTCCATTATCACCTAGAGCCCAACAATATACGGGTATTTCATCATATTCTGGAGGCAAACACTTTTACTTTAAACGGTTAACACAAGGCTTGAGTGTCTCACCAGCAGTTTTTCAATCTAAAATTGATGAAATATTATCAACAGTTCCTGGTAGTTATTCATTTTGTATAGCCCATCATGACGATATTATCTTATTCAGTAAAGACAACGAAGCTCACAAGAAGCATTTACAGTTAATTTTCAGTGCCTTAATTCAAAATGGACTCAAAGTTACACCAAGAAAATGTTCATTTTTCTGTCATGAAGTGGTCTATATGGGTCATAAGATTGCGATTGATAAACAAGGTTTAGTCACACTGCAGCCTTTGTCTGATAGATGCCGCTCAATCCAAAATATCCCAAGACCTACGTCAAGTAAAGATGTAAGAAAATTCATAGGTGCTGTTAACTATGTTTCCAATTTTCTCCCATACTTACAGTCAGTTCTACAACCCTTGCATAAAATTTCCAGCAAGAAATCATCATTTAAATGGTCTGCAGCACATGAAGAAGCATTTGTTAAGGTTAAGTCACTACTTGTACAACCACCTATTCTGTACATGCCTAATGATAGTGGTAGGATTACCCTTTATAGTGACACCTCAAGAACAGCTACAGGATCATATCTTACCCAAATTATTGATGGTGAAGAGAGAATTCTTGGATATTATTCAAAACGACTTCCTAAGGCATGCGAGCGCTATTCAGTCACAGAATTAGAATTATTTGGTCTTCTGATCAATATCTCTAATTTCCAATATCTACTTAGAGGAGTTGAATTTGATGCTTATGTTGATCACGCTGCCATTGTCCACCTTTGTAACTCTAAACGTCCACCTTGTACCAACAGATTACAGAAACTGTTAGTCAAACTTAGTCATTATGCCTTTAAGATTGGTTACAAAAAGGGCACAGAATTAGTCCTAGCTGATTTTCTCTCCCGAAGCCCACTCGAAAGTGATTCGGAGATAGACAGTATTGTCCCTACAGCATTCGCTATTCTGAATCCAGTAACTGATAGACCTGTAACTCGTCAATGGGCCAAGACACATAACATTTCTGTACCTGCAGTTTTCCCTTCTGCCCAACATCAGACAGTATCACATAATTCGGTTGATACAGTTAATAATCAGCCTTCTGATGTTCAGAAAATCCCGACAATTTTCCAATCTCCCAAACGATCTCATATCAGGATATCAAATGATAGTTCTATTAAAGCATCATCTACCACACAAGACCCAAGGATTGTGGATAATGCTTTTCAACCTGAATCACCTGAAGAAATCGAGATACCAATTGAACTATGTATCCCACCTACACCTGTAGTTCATAATGCGGATAATGTTATTCGCACACATTTTCCTAAACAAGCTCAGCTAGATAAACTATTAAAAGTTATCAAGAAAAAGATAATCCGTGATTATAATTTACCAGTAGATAAAAATCAACTACGGTTAGAACAAGAAACTTCTCCATTCTTCAAACCTGTATATGATTTTCTCAGTCATGGTATTCTGCCTTCACACCGTAAAGCAGCAAAATCAGTCAAACACAAAAGTGAAGAATATATTATATGTGATTATATTTTGTTTCGTCTTCTCATACATAATGATAATGCATTTTCTCTTCAGCTTGCAATTCCAGAATCATTATGTCATAATATTATTGCTATATATCATGATAGTTTATTATCTAGTCATCAAGGTATTGTAAGGACATATCTCACAATGCGAAAGTTATTTTATTTCCCTAGTATGTTTTCTACCATCTCATCATATATCACTAGTTGTCATAAATGTCAACAATTTAAAGGGAAAACAGACAATGTTCGGATGTATCATCCACGTATACCAACAGAGTATTGTACTTTTGATAAAATATGTTTAGATTTCAAATCTATGCCTGCATCACCAACAGGATTTAAACATATTATGGTAGTCTGTGATGAAATAACTCGTTTTCTTATCTGTATTCCCCTCAAAACATTAGATGCTGAGACTATTTGCGAAGCTATTATACAGAAGATTGTATGTATATTTGGTCCGCCATCAGTATTAATAACTGATGCCGCTTCATCGCTTACAGGAAAACTTGTCTCTATTCTTTGTTCTGCATTACAGATTGATCACAAACTTATCAGTGTATCTAATCATGGTAGTCTCATGGTGGAGAGACATATTAAGTCAATATCAGACTTACTCAAGTTCAATTTGAACCAATATGGTACCGACTGGGTTCGATATGTGTCAACTTGCACATATGCATACAATTCCTTTGTCTCCCCACAATTAGGAAATTTTAGTCCATACGAACTTGCCTTTGGTAAGCCACCAAAGAATCTTACTTCTTTAGCTTGGAATTTCGATGGAGTTAGTAAATCCTATGAGGAGTATTTAAGTCATTTAAAGCAAAAATTCAATGCTATATCATCTTCTATGCTTGATCTTCAACGTAGACAACAAGAACATCAAAATATAAGCATTTCTCATAGTATAAGTAAAAACCCTATTTATGGACTTGGACAATTTGTCTATGTATTAAAACCATCTTCTTCATCTCTTACTTGTAACTCTAGGAAGATGAAGGCTGAATGGTGTGGTCCCTTAGTGGTTCACCAAATCTTGGACAGAACGCATTATATACTTTCCACTTTGGACGGAAAGATATTACAAGATGTTTATTCTATAAATAGACTTAAACCATGCTTTGTTCGTTCTAATGAGCCAAATAAACGTCTAACTCATATTGATCAATTACGAAAACATCTTGGTAAAACTGTAAATGGTAATGTTCATGTAGCTAATGATTTGACTTATCAATACACCGATGAAAATGGTTTTGTTTTGCCAAACTTTGCTGATCAAAATGTTGTATTTAATAGAGTTACTACACCTTACACTATATCTCAATGTGTGAGTTATCTAAATGATAATAAGAATTTAGCTTCAATATCTAAATTATGTTATACACAGATGGAAGAACAATTAAATTACCTAGTTGATGTCAATAATAATGATAATGTTTTTCATATCAAGAAAGGTAGAATTAAGTGTGGAAATCTACAATTGTTATTAAATTTTAATGACGATAAACCTCATGAATGTGAATGGGTCAATATAGACCAATCTCCAGATTTAATTGACATAACTGAGAAATTACTTAGTAATAATAATCTTAGGATTACAGGAAAATTGAGTAAATATTAAAATGTGATTTAATAATGTTCTCATTGCATGTTTATACAAAATTGTTATTAATACAATTCTCTTGTTGTTAGTATACCTTGTAATGTATGTATTTTCAATCCTAATTCACATTCATTGTGATGTTCAAAACTATAGTTGATATTGTATTTGAATTTAGGAATAATTAACGCATGTTTGTTTATAAGATACCTCTGCATAAAGGTTTGAGCAGTACTCAACAATTTAAGAATTTTAAGAGACATGTAAATTGTAAAATTCCACTGACAATTTGATATTTTAAATGTTCAACTTTCATGTTTTTAAGCATTTTATTTGCTTGTAGTGAAGTATGATAGTGTGTGTATGCTATAATTTTGCTTCATGGTATAAGTTAACGTTTCATTTCTAAATTTTAATTCCTTACCGGAGTTTTTGTTTGAGACCGGGGGATGTCATATACTCCCTTTACTAAACCAACTTATTCATATTATTAAGGAATAGTGGTCTGAAGCCTTCTTGAGTTCTTTGTGTTAATAGAGTTACTTCCCTTGATTAATAAAAGGCTTTGATCCTAGATGGAATTCTGGGATGGAGTGAAATGGAAGATGGCTGTTTTTAATTAGCTCTTCTGATTGTCATAAACAATCCAGGCCATCTTGTGGCCTATACACCCCAATACCACAATAATATAATAATACAGAGTGATTGCTATCCATAGAATTTTAATCTTGGTCTGATTAATTCTGATTAAAAGATAGATTATATTTCGTTTCGTTTTTTATAGTTCAAAATTTCATTTTACGTGTCTTTACTGCACTAGGATCTGGAGGAGTTGTTATATAACCGACGTTCTGGATGATATGAGGGATTAGCCAATGAAACGGTCTGTTGTGGCAAGTTTTTGATGTCAGGTGCACGGAACTGTGGGTAACCCACTAGAAACATCAACGCTGATTGTTTGATTAAATGTCTGACGTCATAAAGTCAAAAGCCGTTCGTATGACCTCTGACGTGACCTCCCACTACAACTGGTCAGATCTTCATGTTATATCCAAAGTATAACGTGCAAAAAAAAAAAAAGGAAACGAAATATAAATCTGTATTTTAATCAGATTGGGTCTCATTTCTCTCTTAACAAATGAACAATCTATTTTTGAAATCTGTTTTTTTGTGTCTGTTATTTATCTCTTTTTGTAAATATTTGTATAGATATATTGATATATATATATATATGCGTGTGTTGACAACATTTAGCCTTGCCTCAATCTCGCTTCCCTTCGCTCTCTTCGCCTCCGTTCAAGATCACTTTCGCCTTCGCCATTTTCCGCGTTTTCCGTCGATCTAGATTAGGGAAAAACAAAAACCAAACAAAGGAAGGTGAAAAACAAGCAGGTAAAAAAGATAAAATCACACCTGAAAATCTCAAAATAGATCAAAATCATTGAAAAACATTAGAGCAGTGGCACACATAAGATAACTTTGATTAACCTTTTTGGGGTCTCTAGATGCTTCCTGTTTCTAAAGACCCTTGCAAGTTGATAATTTAACAACCCCTTCCAGGATTAAACAGATACATACACATAACTTCTCTTTCTTATTGGCCCAAACGCAGTATTGCTTAACAAGCTTAGGGTACTATCTTAGGGTACTGTGTATGCAATAATTATCACTCAAAACATCCACATCACATCTTCACTCAAAACATCCACAGCACATCATCACTTAAAACATCCACACCACATCTTCACTCAAAACATCCACACCACTTCTTCACTCAAAACATCCACACCACATCTTCACTCAAAACATCCAGACCACATCTTCACTCAAATGCACATCATCACTCAAAACAGTCACATCACATCTTCACTCAAATCATCCACAGCACTGTCACATCACATCTTCAGTCAAAACATCAACAGCACATCATCACTCAAAACACTCACAGCACATCATCACTCAAAACATCCACAGCACATCATCACTCAAAACACTCACAGCACATCATCACTCAAAACATCCACATCACATCATCACTCAAAACATCCACATCACATCTTCAGTCAAAACATCCACAGCACATCATCACTCAAAACACTCACAGCACATCATCACTCAAAACATCCACAGCACATCATAACTCAAAACATCCACAGCACATCATCACTCAAAACACTCACATCACATCTTCACTCAAAACATCCACAGCACAGCATCACGTAAAACATCCACAGCACATCAGCACTCAAAACAGCCAGAGTACATCATCACTCAAAACAGTCATATCACATCTTCACTCAAAACAGTCACATCACATCTTCACTCAAAACAGTCACATCACATCTTTACTCAAAAAATCCAATTACTCTCCTGACATCACGTTCTAAAACACAGCTTTACAGTCACACTAATAAATCTCAGATTATGTGTATGTACCCTCCTGATATCACCTTCCAAAAAACAACCACTCAAAAATATATTATAATCTTAATCTGGTATCATGAAGAGTGGTTGCCCTCCTGCCTTGATGGGCTTCCCAAGATTCTCTGGCTTCCTCTCATTGATAAAGCATATTTATTCCAATAAAGACATCCAATATCTCAGGTACGAAATGATCTAGTTTGTGTTAAGTGGATGTTACCCACCCCCACCTGTCTGCACCCCTCCATCCCCTCAAAACAATTTCTCCTGTGTGCCACTGCAATAAAATGATGCAGGAAAGGTTTTTAAAATCATCAGATAAATTATCATGCTTAAAACAAACATTCAGGAAAAAAACATTTTTGTACATTTCTGTTGATATTACAAGTGCCGATCCAGAAGAAATTAAAAATGTGGTGTGCATCTTAAAAAAGGAAGAATACATATCAACAGTTACAAGATACATTTAGATAAAAAACAACAACTTTTTTCATTTCCCCCCCCCCTCCCGTCACCCGACCTAGCCATGCTGCCCCCAGGTCCATTCGCTTGAACTGATATTTGTTTTTTATCAGTTTTGTTTTGTGTGCAATTCTCCTGCATGAAATGAAATGGGGTTTAACGTCCTACTGTTCTGCTCCGACTGGGCTAATGAAGACGGGCATACGCCATACAGTGTGCTATGAGGGAAATTTTGCCCGGGCAGCGGCACAGTGGCCTACTCTTACATCGAAATCCAACTGCGAAGGGATCTTTTATGTGCATGTCAATGTATACGTGCGGCCTCGTTTTCTGTCCCATCCGAATGACTAGACAGCCGTCGGAAAATCCCGATGAACTTTCTTGGCCAATGAAGGGATCGAACACGCGACCTACAGGCTAGTGAGCCAGCATCTTACCCACTTAGCCACTGTGGCAACTCTCCTACTGTTAAATACTAATAGAAGATAATTTTCAAAATGCCTGTTTAGCTATTATCTAAAACACAATACCATACATCTTCTAGCTAAAATCCGTAATTATGAATGTTTTGGATATTGTATATATTGTAAAAGCTATCAATGTCAACTTAAACAGATAACAATATAGTATACTGCTTCTACTAGGGTATTTATAGTAGAGTTTGGCAGGTACCCCGGATTTCTACAAGATTATCATGCAGCATTACAAGAAGGCATGCACTTTATAGTATAGTAGGATGTTTGTTAGAGGTATATATTGTTAACAGGTGTTATAATAATTGGTGTCTCTATATATAATACCTGATACATTGTATATTATTATATATACCATATATACCTTGTGTAACCACATTTTACCTGACTATATCAGCAGGTGCCCTTTCAGGTACACAAGTTCAATAAATATGTGTTTGGAGTGATGTCCCCGATTTTTTTCAACAGACATACTTAAAGCCTAATCCTTGTTTTACGCACATCCAAATCATTTGATACAGGTAAATAGGTGATCGAGGTGAACAGGTAAATAGGTGATACAGGTAAATAAGTGATACAGGTGAACAAGTAAAACAGGTAAAGAGTAAGCATACCCTGCCTTGAGAACAACCCCAGTCACTACTCACAGGTAAAAGGAGTAATGCACCATTTTCTACACTAGATCGGGGATTACAGTATATTAATTGGCCATGATTATAAACAGATATTGAAGCCATGATGGCTTGAGTACGGCACTGGGTCCCTGTCTCCTCCCCCCCATGATTTTAAACAGAGATTGGAGCCATGATGGCTTGAGGAGTACGACACTAGGTCCCTGTCCAGGAGGTCCCCCTGTGAATAGAAACAGAGTTTGGAGACCCAATGGCTTTAGGAGCCCAACCCTGGGTCCCTGACCAGTAGTTCCTGAATTTGATGCTGGTGTGGGCTGTAAAAGTACTTCAGGATTTTTCACTGGAGCAGGACAGAGGAGTTCACAAAGAACAGCATCGGGTCATTGGAGATGGAACAAAAATAAACCGGAGATCTAGTGTGAACAGGGTGCACGTAAAAGACCCCTGGGTAGATGGTATTCAATGAAGAGCAGGCGGAAACATTGATGTCCAGGCAAAAGTGACCTTGTAACACACTGCATGTCTTTGGCCTGTCTTCATTAGCCCCGTAGGATCAGAAGAGTATTGTAGCACACTGTATAGCACGCTCGTCTTCATTAGCGCAATAGCACCTAATAGCACATCGTATGGCGTATGCCCGTTTTCATTAGCCCAGTAGGAGCAGAACAGTAGGACGTTAAACCTCATTTCATTTCATTACATTACCTCATAGCACACTGCATGACGTATGTCCGTCTTCATTAGCCCAGTAGGAGCAGAACAGCAGGCCGTTAATTTCCATTTGAAAAGTGCTGAGACTATTCCTGATAACATTCTTACATGTTCTCGGTCAAACACTCATTCATGTAACAGAAATGAAATGAAATGGGGTTTAACATCCTACAGTTCTTCTCCGACTGGGTTAATGAAGACCGGCATTCATGTAACAAGTTTGGCAGATAAAAATTCTGGTAGATAACAGGAAAAAACTTGTTCCTTTTTCTACAATACATGTATAAAACTTGGTGCCAAATTTCAAACATACCATCCTTCAAAATTAAATGAAATGATGTTTTATGTCCTATTTTTCTACACCCACTGGGCGAATGAAGACAAGCATGCAATCTGATAAAAACACAGATCCTATTTCGTTTCGTTTTTTATAGTTCAAAATTTCGTTTTACTTGTCTTTACTACACTAGGATCTGAAAGAGTTGTTATATAACCCGCGTTCTGGATGATGTGAGGGATTAGCGAATGAAACTGTCTGTTATGGCGAGTTTTTGATGTGAGTTGCACGAAAATGTGGGTAACCCACTAGAAACATCAATGCTGATTGGTTAATCAAATGACTGATGACATTAGGTCAAAAAACGCTTGTATGACCTCTGACATGACCCCCCACTACAACTGCTCATATCTTCATATAGTGTAGGCCATTGAAAGTATAAAAAAAATGAAACGAAATATAGATCTGTATTTTAATCAGATTGCTCTTTTAGGCTAACCGAAGATGCAAAGTCACTTTGATAAGTGTAGTCGAAGAAATCGGCTTAAGCTGAACAGTGCTTCGATCAGGAGAAAGGCCTCTAGGCCTACAAAATCATTAAATTGATATGATATGATATGATCGAAAATGAGCATGGGGATATTTTGCCCTGACAATCAAATGTCAAAGATTCTTTTAAGTGCACACCAACTAGAACCCATATAAGCACGACTAGTAATGAATGGACATATCTCTCTATCGAATACAGCTGCCGTTCGATAATGTAAAGAAACTTGATCCCTTTTCAACAATACTTATAAAACTTGCCGCCATATTTCATACTGCTATATTTATGGATTGGGGGAGGGGAGGGGAAATATATCTCTATCCAATACCCTCCTGTTATGCCACCATATTTCATATTGTCATATTTACGGATTGGGGGAGGGGAGGGGATACATATCTTTCTATCCAATACCCTCCTGTTATTCTTCCTGTTCTCCTGATATCACCTACTTTGTACCTGTTTAATCCAATCTACCTGATACAGGTATGTTAAACCCAACAGGTGCTCTTCCTTATACCTGTAACATAATCTACCATCATACACTTACAGTTCTATAATTCTTCTACCCTCTCTTTCTCGTCTTCTTCGTGCTAACCTTTCATTTACAGCATCTATTACGTCACTTCGATCAGGGATCACACCAATGTTCAAGCTACATGCACATGCAAAAACATGCAAATAAAATGCAAAGAAAAAGAAAGGTTAGTAGTACCGAACATGCAAATAGCGAGATATTTACAGGTAAATGTCAGGTAGACAGTATTGGCATCTGTATTGCCAGGTTTTATTGGAACCATGGATAGGTTATCATGTAATCA